GAATGAGCAAGAAGACAAACCGAATAGCATTGCCTTTAGTGTTCCAAATTCAGCACATACTAGGTTGGGAAGAATTTCTAATAACTCTGTTCTCTCATCATCTCGGACACTGCTGGCATCTAGGAAACTACCAAACCATCGTCGGTTACCTTCTCTCACTTCTGACCAACTCTGCTCAAAAGTCCCTAATACATACAGTGATGAAATCCTTAGGGGGACTAAATTGTGAGTTGCTAAGTTTTCTTCTTTGCTTTTTTCAGAACTTTACTGAAATTTGACCTGTGAAGGATTTTTCAAAATACTTGAAAACTAACCTGTGATTTCTAGAATTTAGAGAGAAAAGGAAAACAAACAGAACTGTGCTTTCTTTTTGGAGGAGAAGTGTTTGTTTTATTTGTTGTTGCTGTATTAGGTGCTGTTACTTTCTGTAGCTGAGCACTATAAAGAAATGTACTGCTTCATAATTTAATATTACTTCAGTGAAGAAATCTTTAACATGAATTTTCCTAAAAAAGGAGCTCTAAAATTCTGTAGGGATGCCAGCTCAGATTGTTTATCTTCTGCTCATGCACCTACAACATGGACCAAGTTACCACCAATAAACTCTGAGGCTGTTGAACAAGATCTTTTGGTACCTCGATTGCAACAGAACTCTGTAAGTAGCATTCATTTTTGTACTGATGAAGAGCTTCAAACTATTTGGAAATAAGTTGCTCTGTATCACTGGTTGAAATGAACAGTTTTACAGTTTGTGTTGGTTTGTATTTAATACATGATTTTAACATGCTAATGTGTGTTCCATTGTGGTCCCATTAGAACGCAAGAGAAACCAGTTCAAAATGCCAGGTTTCAAACAGATCATGGTGGAAACATCTATAATAATAATCATATTCTCTGACAGCATAAAAATCTGGGTTTTTTTTTTATTAAAAGAAAAAAGGGAACCAACCAACGAGATAGTAACTTTGCACTTTTATGCATCTGCATTTAAATAGCTCTTGTCAGTGTTTTATTCACTAATGTTAGGTTACATGAAGTAAGAAATTATGCTGACTGAAGTAGAAAATGATACTAAGTGAACAAAACAGATAGATCTTACTGATACTGGCCTATTTTTGAAGGTTAAGGAAGTAATAAATCACCAGAATGAAAGTTAATTGGTGTGTTGGTATTATTTTGCTTCTGAATAATATTTTGAAATGAGATAAATGTAAAGTCATTTATTATTTTAAGTAATATAAGTCTTTGGGAATTACAGACTAGTATTGATGAACAGACTTACATCTGTTTGAGAAACACATGAACCCTTAAATTGGTGCTTTTGGCTAGTAAAAAAGTATTTTTGTTTTCTCCTTGTGTATTTTTGTATGGAAACAGAAAAATGTTTTAACTGATTCAATTGCTGTGCTTTTTACGTGCTCTTTTTAATTCTCTCAGCATCGAGGACGATATGCTCAGAGCAGAGTGTCGAGTGCAGTGCCTGGCAGGACAGAGCAGCAGCCACTTAGAGAAAGAACTGTTACTGGTGATCAGTTTTCAAGGCCCAACACAACTCATACATTCAGGGTATGTTACAATGTAAGTAGAGACATGGGAAAGGGAGGAAGCATTCATTCCTGCCCACTGTTGGTCTACAGAAGGTCTAATTTCTGGGTCTTTCTTGACTTCTGGTGTAGAGGGATTCCTGCTACCAGTGGAGGAAGATGTTAAAAGTCTTGGGGGCGGTGTGGGACTATTGTATGAGGAAGAAGTTTTTTTTCAAGTCTAGGGCATCAAACTTTGAGGGTGTCTGTGCGCTAGAAGGGTGCAGTTTAGTGCTGCTTGGAGCTTTGCAGCTTGGTAGGATTCAGTCTGCTGGACTAGAACATAATAAACAGTAATTAAACCATTTCAGTGGATTAGCATATCACACAAGCTAATAGTATGTCTTTCCTTTTTACAGAGAGAGACATCTCAGAAGAGATCACTGACTCCCATGGATTTTGCTAACCACAGAGGGACAGGTCAAGAATTTTTAGTAATAGGTAGGCAAAGTAAGAATCTTTAGTAATAGGTAGGCAAAGTAAGAATCATTCGGAAGGCAAAAGGCCAACAAAGTCTATTCACCCATTGTACAGTAAAAAAGTGAAGTGCTTAGGAAGAGCCATCTTGGGATAAAAGAAGAGCAGGTGTACTGCCAGGATCTTTTGAGTTTGGTTTTGAAATTTCTTCTCACTTGGTCTGAGGTAGCCCTAACTCTGATTGGTAGGAATTTTATTTTAGCCTCCAAATTAGTAAACTTGTTATATGGGGAAAAAATAAATTTGAAAATGTGGAATTTTAACAAAAGTATAAAGCCCTCTTAGATAGAATAAAAATGAATATTCATTTATTAATTTGCCGCTGTACCTTCCAACTATAGCACCAAAGAAGAGAGCAACCCTATGCGGCTCATTTTGTTCCATTTTTACAATAAAGCTGACTAGCTAGTTCCTGGCATATTTGACTGCTTGTAGGTAACCTTTATTTGTTTGGAAGTTCCTTGGGTTTAAATAATTACATCATTGACAAAATTATATAAAAGAGCAGGTTAGCAAACATTGATCTGAGCAGACTGGTGGAAGTAACTCGTACATAATCTTGGAGTGTATTTCAGAAACTGTAATTAACAATGTTTTGTATCTTCCAGGCTCACAGCATTTCTACAGATCCTTTCAGAGAAATCCTCCAGACTCAAGGAAGAGATTTCAGATTGCTTCTTAACCCATCTGAGGAACAAAGAGAAACCCACTGCACTGAATGAAAGACTGTAGTGCTAAATTTGCCACCTAGTATCTTGTGTAGCAAAGAAGATGTGCAGTATTCTGGTGTCTGCTGAGCCTTGCTATCATCAGGATGCCTGCATTGCTTTCTTTTAAAATTGTCAGACCAGAGATTAGATTAAATATGAGATCAGAATGGAAAAAATGATTGAGGTGTCTGCTCTGTTCGCAGCATCAAGACACTGCTGCTGCACTTTCTTCTCAGGCATTCCTCCTTTTTCTGTCTTTCCTAGGGAATTGTTATTGTTATAGAAGCAAATAAGTTATGCTTAAGTCTTAATGTCCTCGTCCCTCTTTTTTTGTTTCCTTGGTGTTAAGATGTTCTAGTCTGTCTAAACCTTATTGATGTATCCAAGTGCCAAGATGATGAAGCCAGACTCTTCTCAGTTGTGGAAACCAATAAAACAAGAGATAATGGGCAGAAACTCAGGCACAGGAAGTTCCAGCTGAATATGAAGAACTTTGTTACGGTTCAAGTCACAGAGCACTGGAACAGATAGTTCAGAGAGCTCATGGATTCTCCCTCACTGGAGGTATTCCAGAGCCATCTAGATGCAATCCTGAGCCATGTGCTCTGGGATGGCCCTGCTGAAATAGGGAGGTTGGACCAGATGACCTATTGTAGTCCCTTCCAGCCTAACTGATTATGTGATTCTGTAAACATCAGTCATATATAAAGTTTATACTTTTAAACAGGAGTTTGCAGTATTTCCTTTTCAGTCTGTCTTCTTATTGCAGCTGATCTCTTACATATGTTGTCTGTCTCTATTTTTTCTTCTTCCTTTAATTCTTTTGAGATGGAATTTGTTCACTGCTTTTACTTACTGTTCTAACCATCAGTATCTATGGGAACTGCTGGGATAAACCTTGTGTACAGGAAGTAATGTCTTCTCTGCCAGGCCAAACATGTTTATATGAGCAATTGAACTGACATGCTGACAAGTCAGTAAGACTCTTCCCACTTTTTGAGATTTCTTGTAAAATACTGCATGTTACTGTACAAATTAATCATATTTTGAAATATGTAAGCTTTCAGATTTTAAAAAGGAAATATGTACTTAGCTGATGAAAGTATTATTTCATACCTTTTTGTGTAGACCCAAATCTACAGATCAGAGAGGAGATGGGGATTTTGTTCTGTCCAGAGATCACAGCACTCATCAAGGCCTTGGCTATTAGTACTGTGTGCATTCACAGTCAGGGATTCCTCCTTCTGTCAGAGAGCCAGCAGTTTAAGTAGGTATGGTCAAAGAGCTGTTGAAGGCAAAAGGAAGGAGGAGAAAGTAACATGCTGAAAGTATGCAGTTAAGTAGTACCTTCTTCTACTTGGGAACTAATACCAGTTCTCCTCACTTTCTATGAATGTTCAAGGAATGATAATACAAGGCAAAATATTTCTAATATATATTTTTAATGTTTATCAGATTTCCGTGGTGTTATTTTTTTTTATTGTTAGATTTTTTAAAGTGGTCATCAAGCACTGTGTTCTTTTGAATACTGGCTTAGTGTTCTTCCTTGACTAGCCGCATTTGCTCACTGGTGATGATATGGCATGGTATCCAAGACAGCAGAGTGCTTTGTATGGAGTTTCGGATCAATTTCATACAATTGCAGGTCAGTTTGATGCAGTTTCTTCAGAAGTCTCAGGTCAAAGATGACATAACTTCCAAAATTCCAAAATATAAGTCTTTAGTAGCATATCTAAAATATACTTTTGCTCTCATGAGTGCTCCCTCCTTTATTGTGCAGATCTTGACAAGAATGCAGAGAAATAGTGGCAAAATATTTGCCTTACCATCCTGTTCTTGGCATTTCATGGCAATGCAGATCTTACGTTTTGAACTTAAATGACAGATGGCTATGTGCTGGTTGATTCTGTAATCACAGAAGTAGTAACCACTGAATCATTGTGGAGTTGTTCATCATGTGGCCCTTTGTGAAAGAGAGAAGACTGCCAACCTCTGTGAGGCAGTGGAGCTCAATAAGTGGATTTCTGAATGAAAAGAGCAGCAGTTGTTGCTGTGAGCAGCAGGTTGCACAACCAAGAAAGGTATAGCTTGATGGAAGTGGGCATCACAGCAATGTCTGTCTATGAAAGCCATAGGAGTGGTCTCTGTCTCTCAAATGCTGTTAATCTCCTTTACCTGTGTGAGGGAGGATCCACAAAAGGATTTGAAGATGGAGTCTTCCTCAGGCTTTGGTCTTGGAATCCTAGTTTTTTGGGCTACAGTGGCATGAAGTTTAGCACCAGGTCCTGAAATTCCTCTCTGAGGACCGGGGGAGATCTCTGAGCTGCCCAGTACTGATGATGTATTTTGAAATGGAGACATGCTGTATTATATTTTCTTTGTGTAGGGGATGACTATTGTGGACTACAAATAGCCTATTTTTTTAAGAGTATATAAGGGTTAAGCATGTTGTGATAGTCTGTGCTGAGAAAGAGAGAAGCACTTACTAAGAAAAATATTTCCTAAGAAAAACCAGTTTTTCAGAATGAGTTATGTACATCTCTATTGTCCTGTTGTGTCAGATCCATTTTAGCCTTGCTTTGCCTTGGGTTTTTGTTTTTCTTGCTGTTAATGATGATTTTGTCAATTTCTTTATTGATGAATTGAGGCTGCATTCTAGGAATCAGCAGAAGCCTGTGTTGTCATTGTGCCTGTGGGCTGACACAGCTGTCCAACAGAATATGTGCCTTCTGTCCACATGGGCAGATAGGTTATCACTTAGGTAAGAGGCTGAGTAAAAGCATGTTTGTACTGTTATGTCTGTTTATAAAAGCAAAGATTCACTGACCAGTGGAGTGCTCACCAAAATACAGCACTGAACAAATGGCTCTCTGGGTGAAAAAGAAATCACAGTCTGGTAGAAAACTCCTCTCTTGCAGAACATCCTCCAAGGTTTATGATGATTGCAAGTCTCAGTAACATAATTCAGCCTTAAAGATGCCAGACCTCTTATTTTTATTTTTTTGGCTATATATCACTTACATCTCATTTCAATGTTGCTGCTGCCTTTCCTTAGTTGCATCATCATTGCCAGCTGCTGGCAGGATTTTGCAATATTTCTTCTGCTGTGTTCCCTACTGCTTTCCCTGTGGCTTTTCACCTTCTCCCAGCTGTTGCACTGGGTTTTGTGTGTTTTGGTTTTTGTTTTTCCTTCAGAAGGAGTTAGCAGCAGCTAGAAACATGGAGTTTTGACTCAGAATCACAACTAGCCTTCATCTAATTATTGACCCTATGAAGGCAATAAACTGCAAGGTTTTTTTGTAAAGGTGAGAGTGTAATTACTCAGCTTATCTCCATGTTAAAAAGGCAAAAGGTGAGCCTGTTCATCTGTCATGCTTTCTTCCTTCCTAGGATGTCACCTGGAGAAAAAAGGGGACTGATGGCCTTGTAGCTTGCCTTAAGTGTTTGCAAGATGGGTAATGTATCTGTTGAGTTCTCACAAACCATTACAAACAACAGCAAGAGTAGCAAAGTTCATTTCCAGCTGTTTACTCTGCAGAAAGATACAACAGTCAGCATTAATGATAAAGTGTGCTGTGAGATAATGGGAACGAAGTGCTAAAATTTACTTTCCTGTTCTGCCAAGGGTCATTAAAACCTTACTTAACTTCTGATGTTCTGAGCTTTCTGTTTGTGTTTTTTTAAAAATCTTAATTGTTTTGGTTATGCTGTTGATTTACTAAAAATGCTGGTGTGGTCAGTGCAGCATTTTTGGTACAAAGCAAACAGAATAAATGTGACTCTGGCTTTAAGAAGCTTTTGTGCTGTATTTAGGGGGGGATGTTTTGTGAATCGGCTGTGAACCATGCTGTCTCTTTACTAAACTTTTGTTTCACAAAGTTTCTGAGCACCTGCTTTGAGGAACAGATGCTTAGCAGCCCTGCAGCAGTGAGATGAAATCCTGGATCCTCCTGAGGCAGGAAGGGCAGCTGTATGTGTGGTGGGTATGGCACTACATCCAGCCAAGCACTTTGCAAGTTGTGGCACAAGTGCTGGTGCTGCCAGTCGTGTTACTGGTATCCCTTTAGCCTGTGCCTGAGCATTCAACAGTGAAATCAATGAAGGTCATTTAAGCTGAGAAGCATTAGTGTGCTTTGCAATGCTGCTCTTGATCATGGGTCTGTATGGGCTTTGGTTTCTGTAACCCCTTGAAGCCATCAACCCAAATGAAGATAGGTACTCCCTGTGTGACCCTTCAGTCATCATGTTGGGCAGCACTGGAGCAGTTCTGTGTGGCAAACTGGTGTTCCCTGAGCACCTGAAAACAGACGGAGAAAGATGATATTGAGAAAACCCATACTTCCCAAATCAGCACAAAGATGTTGTCTCTCTTGATAGTGCTTTGCACCTTTTCCTTCTGAGGCTTATGAATTGCTGCAAAGAACTTTGTCACTCCTCACTTGAATCAGAGGAGCCAAGTGAAGGCAGGGAAGTGGCACTGTTGCCTCTGGCTGCTCTGCCATCAGAAAGTGCTTGCAGGAGCCTCTCCATGCGCATGTGTTTTAAGTGTTTATTTTCCTGGCAAGAAGCTGTGCCTGTGGCCTGTGTGGCAGCTCCGCCTCCTGCTCTCTTGGCCCCTGCCCTTACACGACTCACTGCAACGTCAGTGCCAGTTCTGCAGCAGGGATCAAAGCTCAGAGCAGGAGGCTGAGAGGTGATGATGGAGGTAGTGCAAGGATCTGCAGGGAGACCCCAGCTGATGCCCTTGGGGGCTGGGGTCATTGCTCTTCTGTTGACAGTTATGGCCATGTGCTGCCTGCCCTCCCTGATGGATTACTGGAGACGATGGCGCATGATGAAGCTGATCCCGGGTATCAGCCCCTGTTATCCTGTGCTGGGAAACGCTCTACTTTTGGAGCCAGATGGAGAAGGTAAGGCCAGCTCATGCTGCAGCCCAGCTGTGAGGTCCCTGCACTGTTTGGGGTTTGCTGGAGAGGGCCAGCACTGGTGAAATGCCTGTGTGGTTGAGCTGTGTGGCTGGGGAAGGGGAGCGGAGTGTCAAAGGGTGTGCTGTCACCTTTAGGTTTCTCTGGAGCTGCGGGGAACCTGCAGAGGGTAACTGTGTGAGGAGTGGGCGGTGGAGGGGAAAGGAGAGGAACTGCATAAATGTGGTGTTTTCATTGGTCAAAGATAAGCTGGAGGTTCAATCTGACAGCAGCTTCCAGATACTGATGCTGGACTCAGACTGTTACAGTTGTTGGTAGGGAGCATGAACACTGTGGAATGTATTTTTCTGACAGGGAGGCATGCTAAGGGCTCTCATAGAAACTGCTGTTTCACAAAGTGGAACACTGTTCTCATGACTCTTCGCTGTAATACAAACAAAAGAATTATCTTCCCCCAAGTGAGCATGTGCAAGGCATTTCAGCATACCATGTTACTGGATCACTTTCAGAATTGGCTGTGACTTAGATTTCTGTGTTAGATGCAAAAGAAAATGCTGATTATTTACAGTACATCCCTCAAAAGCAAACCTTTCTGTTCCTGCGCTGATTAATGAGACTTTCTTTTTGCCAGGTGCTGGAGAGAGCACTAATGTGTTAGATGTTTCCTTTCCATTTGGTGCTCTTTTTTTTTTACAGAAGTGTATTTCTTAAGGAGTTTGAGGTATGAAAGCAGCACTGGCTATACTGTCAGTGGCCCACCAGACTCTTCTGTGTGTGTTTGTGATGTCTCTCTATGTCAGTCTGCTCTGTGTACATGCATTGCTGGCTGTGCTACCACGGATGCTGCCAGAAGAGAGACTAAGTGGGTTATGTGAGCACGGTGAAGTCAAGGATGAGTACAGCATTGGCACACAAATTTACCAGTGCTGACTCATGTTGAGACTTGGCACCTCTGTTCATGAGGATACACAGTCACATCTTTCCTCTGGATTCAACCCCATATCTAAATACGAGAGATCTTTGATGGATGTGAGGTGAAACAGCTTTCCACAAAGTTGACTTTGGGGAAGCAGTAGGAGGATCCTAGCCAGGATGTTTATATGAGCCTGAATGAGAGATGAATCTGCTTTTTTGTTCCCCTTGTTGTTTTTTTGTCTTCATTTTAAGTCTTCTAAAAATCCCAAAACACAAAAAAAAACCCCAAACAGAAAAAAAATTGCTTTCTATCTCCAGAAAGCAATTTCATAGAATCAAAGACTCATAGAATTTACGGGTTGGAACGGACCTACTAGATCATCTAGTCCCAATCCTCCCTGCCATGGGCAGGGACACCTCCTCACTAGAGGACACCTCCTCATCCAGCCTAGTCTTGAACACCACCAGGGTTGGGGCAGCTACCACATCCCTGGGCAGCCTGTTCCAATGTCTCACCACCCTTATAGTAAAAAACCTTTTCCTCACATCCAAGCTAGGCTTTCCCTCCTTCAGTCTGAACCCATTACCCCTTGTCCTATCATTGCAGTTCCTATCAAAGAGTCCCTCTCCAGCTCCCCTGTAGGTCCTTCAGATATTGAAAAGTTGCTATGAGGTCTCTATGCAATCTTTTCTTCTCCAGGCTGAACAGCCCCAACTTCCTCAGCCTGTCTTCATAGTGGAGATGCTCCAGTCCTCTTACCAACTTTGTGACCTCTTCTAGACTTGCTCCAACAGTTCCATGTCTTTCTTATGCTGAGGACAACAGAATTGCACACAGTATTCCAGGTGGCGTCTCACAAGAGCAGAGTAGGGGGGAAGAATTTGATGGAGACTGATTTTCTGTGGAGTCTGTTCTCATTTGTTAGCATAGCCTCCATGCTTGACTTAAATCCATCTTCATCTCTGTCTTTGTTAGTGTTTATTTATATAAAAATGCCTGAAGTTTGTAGTTTATAATGTTTTTCATTTAAAATGTGACAATTGGAAAAAAGATAGCTTTTAGAAAAAAAGTTTTATAGGAGAATTAAAAAAATTACTTATGATGGTGATTTTCTTTATTGATATTGGTAGACACATGCTGGAAAATGTGATATTTTAATATGTGATATGGCAATGTTAGGAAAAAATATTACAAAAATAACAAAGTAATCCGATATTCTGAAGTCTGTTGGGTGACATGTCATTAGAACTTTGCCTAAGACTAGGGAGTGCTGTATTTGGGCATCTATTAGGAAACTTTTCTTTTTACTTTGATTTGAGGAGCTTTGAATTTTCAACTCTGCTGAGGCCTGGAAGGGTGTGGCTTGTTGTTTAAACTGGTTGTTGAAAGGGCTAAGACCCATTTAATCCTTGAACATCCTGATTGTGGCCACCACCTTTAGTATTGCAGAATGAACATACTTGCCCTCTGTGATGAGATGGCATCAAAGACCTCTCTGAATCAAATTAAACACCATCTGCTGCTCTTCCCTTGCTCACAGATCCAGCTACCTCCCATGCTCTCTTTGTAGCTAAACTGGCAAGATATAGACTGAATAAGTATATAATGATGGTGAATCGGCTGGATTGCTGAGCTCATCAGTATGAAGTCCAGCAGGCAGCTGGGTACTACTGATCTCTCAGCTTATCTAGGGCATACATGATTGTATGACCATGTTCCCTTTGTCACGAGGATATCTGAATTGCAAAATACACTGCTTGGTCATAGCAGCAAAATAAAACTACAACAAAATCAAAATTGCAGGGCATATGGTGTAAAACAGTTAATTACAGAAATTTTGCTTATTCAGTAAACCCCGCTGTTTTGAAAAATTATAATCTGATCTTTTATTCCAGGATTCTTTAAGCAACTACAATTTTATGTTGAGGAGTACAGGAATCGTCCATTGTTTAAACTTTGGATAGGACCATTGCCTGTTATGATTTTGTATCACCCTGACAGTGTGGAGGTGAGTGTGCTGGTCTCCTATCTATTCTACTGACATGCAGAGCAGTGTCCAACCTGTTAGTTTCTCTTCTCTGAATGTGATTTTTGTTAAAAAGGGCTTGGTGGATTTTTGTTGGGGTTGTACATAGAACATTATGAAATGCAGGCTGCAATGCTTATGTCTGACTTCTGCACTGGAACTTCATGGGTCTGTCTTGATGCCATGAAATGTAGTCATTAGTTTTGCTACTGACAATGATTGTCCTTAAATTGGGAAAGCAAAATTGTTTCTTTGTTGGAGTGTTTATTGGAGAAGTATTGAAGAAATGTCTCTCCATCTAACAACTATTACTTTTTCCTTTCTGTTCATTTTTCTGACAGGTTATTCTGAGCAGTTCAAAGCATATAGAAAAATCATACCTGTACAAATTCCTGGAACCATGGCTGGGCACGGGACTTCTGACGAGGTATAAAGAAACTCTATCTTTTTGAAATTCCTATATGATAGGAAGACGTCTTGGTGGCAAGAATGCTGTGTGTATCTCTGAACAGAGAGATTGTGTGCATTGCATATCTCAGCTGGTGATACTGCAAACCAGTAGTATGGATCTGAGGTTGGTGATGCTTTGGGGTAGGATGGGAGAGTATTTGCACCCTCTCCTTCCTTTCCTGCATGCAGTTAAGGATCATACAAAGGGTAAGCCTGGGTAAGAGCATAAGTCAGGAATGGAGAGAGGGAAGAGCAATGATGTAAGGCTTTGGTGTCCTCCAGTCTTGGAAGGGTAAAGGAGGGCTTGGTTTGGATGATGCAGATAATCAAGATTCAGAGCAAGGTGAGTGTAGAGTGGCTCTGGTGCCTTTGAGTTTCTTCTGAGTTTTTGAAAGAAGGTCAAGGTCCCCCTGTTGGTAGTGAAGCTTTGTTGCCTGTTTGGAGCCCTCGGGTAGACTCCTTGTGCTTTATGATGGCCTCATGGTGTTGTAAAGGCCAGCTGTGATCATGTGGTGTGGGAAGTGCAAGTTTATGTGAGAGGACTATGAATGCCTTTTATCCTGACTTTTGTTCATGGCCTTTAAGAAGGTGAAGTGCAGAGAGGTTGAGGTCCATGGGCATCAGGCATGGTATATCCTCACTGTTAGTCTTCTTCCTTACTGATTTTTGTCTCCTGTAGGCTTTTAGATGTATTTTGACTTTCTTGTGCTTGCAAAAACATAATGGAGGAGGCTGTTCCAGTCTCTGATGATTAAGGGCTGTAGTGGTAGACAGCAAGCAGATAAGCTGGCCTGAGGAGTGTCCCAGTAGCAAATTAACAGGAGTAATGGGTGTGATGGTTTTACCCTGTAAGTGTGTGCCAGTGGGGTATGTGATTCAGAAAAAGTGAACAAGAACCCCCAGGAAGCTGGTGTCACTCGCTGCAGCTCCATGCTCTTTCACTGGTACGTGGAATGTGATTGCCTGCCACCAAGGAAGTGCTTTGTAGCCAGACCTTCAGGCAGTCATTTTCGTAATGTCCTTGGGCCCTAGGTCTCTCTGATCCTCATTTCATAGTTAGTGGATGAAGACAAACATGACTCAGAGAGACAGTGATTCAGAGAGACAGTATGGTGGGTCGAGGCCTGAATAACTCTTTTGCCCTATGGCTGGCTTCTGCTCAGTCTCTCTGAGCCTGTGCACTGATCAACAAGGATGCACTTCCTGGAGGCTTGTTGGTGTGTCTGTCTGTTGAGATCAGCTAGAGAAGTGGTGGCTTGTGCTTCGGAGAGAGCTGAAGCAAGAAATATTTCCATTTGCACTGTCTCGGGAGTGCTATGGACAGCTTGAAGAGTCATCTGCAGTGTGTCCACCTGTTCCAGGCTGCAGTATTTACTGTGTACTTCCTATGGTGGTGAGGTTTTTATTTGGATTTGGAGTTTTTAACCCTTGCTTCTCCTCATTAATTTTACAGCACTGGAGACAAGTGGCGGTCACGGAGGAAGATGATAACTCCCACATTTCACTTTGAAATCTTGAATGACTTTTTAGAGGTTATGAATGAACAAGGAAGCATTTTGGTGGAGAAACTTGAGAAGCATGTCGACAAAGAGCCATTTAATGTCTTTCTGGATGTCACTCTGTGTGCCCTTGATATCATCTGTGGTAAGTCCTCTTCAGTCACTGTGGTGGGACTGAATGATGCAGAAGCTCATGAGTTCAGCTGTCCCATGTTGTGTGAAGAGGTGATTAAAGATTGCATGTTGTGTGCATGCATTTCCATCTTCCCAAGGCCGTGCTTTCTCCTAGGGTTTAATGTGTGCAGCTGAGCAGGTGAGTTTGTGGGATGGACAGAGGTAGCAGTCTGAAGTGAGATTGTATTGAGGAGCAGGATTCCTGGGCATGGAAATGTAAAGCAAGCTCATTACCTGGAAAGGGATGTGTGTATTCACCTGTCGAATGGATTGTGTGGTGACAGTCAGAAACAGGGAGCAGTAGTAACTTATTGTGTACACGGACAGTGCATTTCACCTTACACTTGTGAAACATCGATATTTTCCTCCTTCTAGAAACAGCAATGGGCAAGAATGTGGATGCTCAGAAGAACAAGGATTCTGACTATGTTCGTGCTATCTATAGGTAAACAGACATCTTCCTTAGCTACTTTGTAGTTGGGCTGGTGTGTTGATGCTGCTGGTTTCAGGAGGGAAGGTTAGGGGTCATGAATGGAGGGATGTAAAGCATTGGAACAGACTAACCTGAGTCACTAAATACTCTGGAAGTATTTAAAAGATGTGTAGATGTGGTACTTGAGGTCATGGTTTAGCGGTGGACTGTGCTGGGTTGATACTGGGTTAACCATTGGACTCAATGATCAAAAAGGTCATTCCCAACCTAAAGGACTCTGATCTCACTGCTAGATTTTGATGGGGCTTGTTGAGACAGGTATGTTACAAAAAAAGGGTGGACTTGGGGGGTTTGATTGTCATTAGTTCCTTGGCCTTTCCCAGATTGTTCTGCTAGTATCCTTGAAGCCTAAATGTAATAATTACTCCTGACAGTCTGTGCAGCCAAGGCACGTGCAAGAGCTGAATAGCAATGACAATTGGCCCTTCCACATGTACTCCAGTTGTGTTTGAGCATGCTTGAAGTCTCATATTTATTTTATACTTTTACTTGTTATCTTATGTATATGGTATCTTGACAGTCAAGTAGGAATGTAATGATTTCAGGTGACTGAGTTCTTGGGGCAAATATTTTGGAACCCTGTCATGAGTAGTCTTCAATGTGGTCACTGCTTTACTGAAGTGGAGTGAGGCTGTATGACTTAATAGGTCTGTTTCAAGAGGATTCCAACTAAACTAGAACATGCTTTCCTTCTCAGAGATCAGTGCTTAAAGGTATAAAACATGGCAGGTAACAGACAATCTGAGAGAGTGTAAAATCAGGAAACAAATGTGAACATCCTTCCTTTCAGATGAATAGATTTAAACTCACACAATAGGGTAAGTTCTACTTCATTAGGGGACATAGATAGCTTTTTGGTTATTGAAAGGGTGTTGTAGTTTGGGTTTTTTTGTCAAGAAAAGTCACATGATGTAATTGTTTTGCCCCTAGGATGGGTGATTTAATCCAACAGCGACAGAAGAGCCCTTGGTTTTGGCCTGATCTTGTATATATGCTGTTCAAGGAAGGAAGAGAGCACAAGAGGAACCTCCAAATCCTTCACAATTTTACAGATAAAGTAAATATTTTTTTTCTTTATAATGATAATTTTAATTGTTGTGAAGCCTTGTACTCAGTAGAGAGCTTCTAAGTTTGGGGGAGGTTCAGCCTCCTTGATATGCATCTAATAAGAGAAGAGCTAGCTATTGAGATGCTGAGAAATTCCCTGAAAAGGAGACAACAGCTGACTTCCCTTTCAGGAGCCTTATCATACTTAGACAAGCAAGTATACTTCTCTGAGGGATTGTCAGGACTTGCAAGTCCTTGACAGCTGAAATGGACAACAGGAATTCATTGAACTGGCCCACATGTTCTACAACTGAATCACCTGCAACTGAATCACTGCCAAGTTTGGAGCAGTAAGCATAGAGCTCTGCATGGTAATGCTGCTTGGTTCAGCCTTCAGAAATTGAAGCCTGTATTCATTTTTCCCTGTTTGGAGCAGAACTGCTGAGATGGGAAAACAGAAGTAAGACACTTTGACACAGAAACCATTAAGCATGCATCACTAACTTGGCGTAAAATGCAGTGTTCTTTCACCATGTTAGACTGTGGAAGTAACAGCCTTTTCTCTAATCAAATAGTTTCCATGCTGTTTTTGCCAATGTTTGCTCTCCAAAATCTACTATTAGGATGTTATCAGAGAGGCTGCTTTCCCTATATACCCCATGATGTCATTGTATCAATGTCTGTAACAAACGAAATAACTTCGACTACGTATAATGTCCCACATTGACTCTGTGTTGTTTTTAAGTAGTTCATGTTTTCCTTCCTTTTACTGGGAGTTGGAGCAGTGAGATATGAGAGAGGCTCTTAAGAGGACCTGAGGTAGCACTTGCTCTCCTCCCATGCTGGGTGGGTGCACTGAATATAAGAAGCCAAATGTTAGAAGATGACAAAGGAACAGTAAATAATGATGTCACCTATTGTTGGTACTGACAGAAAGCACTGAGACAAAAGATGGTTCAATATATGATGTTATACATGACTGTTCAGTGAGGGAAACAATGTGTGTATATAGAACTGTAATTTTTTTTTGTCATTCAGTGCTTCCTCTGAACAGAATTGCATACTCTGCAGCCTTTCTTTTAAATTATTTTGTTGTTAAGAGCAACATCAGTTTATTGAAGGGTTCTGTGTTGTTGTGTCAACAGTGGTAACAGCAAGAAATCTGTAACTGTTTCTGGGGCTGTGCTTTGACCTAAAAAAGAGAAGTTCAACCATCGCTTTCATACTGAAGAAAATTTGTGAAGCTTTGGTGTAGGGGGTTCAGCAATGTTATGTATAGCCTTGATGCAGGGTTGTGGGATGCTCTGGCTTCCCTTCAGTCTCCTGGGTTCCTCAGAGGTTGGAAGTGAGATCTTTTCCTTAGTTATCGATAGGATAGAGAAGATCTTACTGGTGACCAGACTGTTTGGAATTGCACTGATTTTTTTTTTTTTTTATTATTTGCTGTTGCCATTGTTGGCATTCATAATTGGCTTTTTCCAGATACTCTGGGTATGTTTACACTTCTTGATGATCAGTAAGTTCTTTATGTAGCTTGGCTATCTATTTTAAAAGTTCATTCTATTCCGTGGGAGAAGAGGGATTGGTCATATTTCAGTTAAAGTTCATGATCTAATGCTGACAGCTATGCTAACTAGCTTATGTAGACTGCTACAGATGGATGTTGCTTTTTTGATAAGCTGGGACAAACCTGTATGATGTAGACTGTGCACATGTGCTGTGTGAATCATATCTGATGTAATGGTTCAAATCTCAGGTCATTGCAGAAAAAGCTGCAGAACTCAAAAACACTAAGCAAAATAAACATGGTAATGATGGCAACTGTGAAGAAAGTGGCTTCAAAAAGAGAAAAGCATTCCTTGACATGCTGCTGAGTGCAACAGATGATGAAGGGAACAAATTGAGCTACCGGGACATTCGTGAGGAAGTAGATACTTTCATGTTTGAGGTAACCAAGGAACCAATTGGTTTGTTGTTTTTCTGGTTTGGATGTTCTTGTTTGTTGGTTTGTTTGTTGTTTGTTTTTTTTCTTCTTGAACCTGAAATTCAGAATTTGTGGGTAGTGACTCTTGTGTTAGTTAAGGAGGTTGTTTTTAGTATGAAGTTATTTTAGCCCTGGAAACCTAAAAGGAAATCTCAGTCTTTCAGTCCTACAGAGGAAGAATAGAAACATTGATGTGCCCTGGCAATTTGGGGCAATACGTATGTGGTAAGCCCTGCCTATGTGAGCACTCTACTAATGAAAGCAAGTAATAAAAGCTTAATGGCTGACATGGACCATGGGCTCTCAGCTCCTGTTGCAAACCTCTTTAACACTGCAGAGAGCTATAAGTGGTTTCAGTGTTTGGCATTGCATTTTGTCATCTCTTCTCACATTTTGTCCCTTGCCATGATGGCCCTAATCTGGTTCCATTGTCAACTGTGCATTAGTGCACTGCCTTCTCAGAGAGTATTATCAGAGTATAGCTTGGGTTGGAAGAGACCTTAAAGGTATTCTGGTTACAACCTCCCTGCTATGGGCAGGGATGACACCCACTAGATTAGGTTGCCCAGGGCCCCATCCCACCTGGCCTTGACATCCTGAGAGACAGGACATCCACAACTTCTCTGGGCAACATGTTGCAGTACCTCACTACTCTCTGAATAAAGGATTTCTTTCTAACATCTAATTTAAATCTCTTCTCTTTTAGTTTAAAACCATTCACCCTGTGGTATTCATTAGCCTCCCAGATGTTGTGTTGTTGTAACCAAAGAGACGAATATATGTATGTTTCATTGTGTAGATAGTGATAGTTCAGGCATCTTCTGAGAGGAATTTTGCTTGGGTTATTTCAAGACTTTTCCCTTTTGATCAGTTTTCAGCACCTGACAGAATTGTTTTTCAGTTATTCAGTGTTTTTCTCATGGTTATGGGACTAATAACTCTCACTTTCCGTACTACCTGCACATCTTAGTGTTTACAAAGCCCACCGGTGCACGGGAATAGAGTTGAAGTGAATATCTTTGTCAATCTGGACATCTAGGGTCATGATACAACAGCAGCTGCTATGAACTGGGTCCTGTACTTGCTTGGACATAATCCTGAAGTCCAGAAGAAGGTTCACAGAGAATTAGATGAGGTGTTTGGTAAGTTTCCATTGCCCCCTTCATTGGGGTTGTGGTGGTACTTGCTGCATTTCTGAGTGGAGATGTGTTACAAGCCTAGACATAGAAGGGGACGTAGGAGCATGCCACATGTCCCTTCTGGAGCTTTCAGCAGCTAGAGGTGGTTGGAGATGGTGCTGGAAGGTCTGTAGGGTAGTACAGTCAAGGAAAGTACATCTTTGGGTCAAGGCACACATGTGTAACATACATATGTAACTTACATGTGTAACATCTTCTATTGTGTAGTCTTGGTGCGTGATGAGGGTTCCTGGAGGTATCTAGGGTGAGTTTCTTTAGTCAAAAACAGGGAGGTTTGGTCTTGCTCATCCCCCTGTTTGTTTCTGGACAGACAACACTGAGCGTCCTGTTACAGCAGATGATTTGAAGAAGCTTCGATACCTTGAGTGTGTTGTGAAAGAAGCTCTTCGGCTCTTCCCTTCAGTTCCTATGTTTGCCCGTGCTTTGAGAGAGGATTGCTGTATTAGTAAGTAGTGTCCTGTGTTTGCCACTTCCTGTCATGTTAACATGTCCTCAGTGGAGGAGTTTCCCAAGAAAAGTGCACTGTTGTTTTATTTTTTACTGTGCTGTTTTGTATAGAAAGTTGCATACTTGCTGTTGTTTTGACCCTTCTTCTCCATTTCTGTTTTCTCTTTAGATGGATATCAGGTGCCAAAAGGCACAAATGTTCTTGTTATAACTTATGCCCTTCATCGAAACCCTGAGATCTTCCCTGACCCGGAGGAGTTCAAGCCTGAGCGATTCCTCCCTGAAAATTCTAAAGGAAGGCACCCATATGCTTACGTGCCCTTCTCAGCTGGTCCCAGGAACTGCATTGGTAGGTATCTGAGGAGGAAGACCTTGTAATGTGACAGTTCTGCTTTTGGTGTGGTAACTAAGACAGCAATGAAGTGTATCAGAAGTTTAAGTCTTGATATGCCTGCTAGTTGTGTCCCTGTCCTCCCTCTCCCCACCCGACCCCTGAATTCTGAGCACCTTGTGCCCTGCAAGCCTAGTGCTTGAGCTGCCACATTTGTTTCTTCCCAAGGGTTTCCTTACTTTCTAGGGCCAGTGTCTATCATGCTGATGTTTCCTCCTCACTGCCTCTGCAGTCTGGCAGCATGTTATTGGGTTCCTGCATTAGGACAAGATTGCTTCCAAATTTCTGATTCTCAGTGTCAGCAAGACAGAGTGAGAGAAGACAATTTTCCTGCACCTGTTCTGCTCTGGAAGCATCTCATCTGTCTCTCATGACCTCAGCTGTGTGTCCCAAACATGTAGTCTGCAACTGACGTATTCTTTCCCTCTTTCTGACACTGTAGTTGTTTTAGTGTTTTCAATGTCATCCCAGAACTCGTTAGCTCTTCAGGTGCTGCTGAGACACTTGGCATTTATCTGTGCTCAAAGTAGAGGCATTGTTGTTTATATTGTAGAACATATGAAAAGACTGTTCCCTGCACTTATTTCAAGTGCAGATGGGGAACACCCAGAAATTGTCATGCCATTTGCAAGAACAGGAAATAAAACTTCTTTGGGGTTTTTTGGTTTGGTTTGTTTTCTTTTTTTGGGGGTGAGGTTGTTTTGTTTTGATTTGTCTCATTAGTAGTAGGTGCCCTTCCCATAAGAACAGTGGACTAGGTCTTTATGTGTTCCAAGGAGACTAATTTAATGGAACAGGTCTAGCTAGTTCCTGGGTGTGCAGGAACATGTACAGGAGAGGTGGTTCATGCATCACTGTGTCCACGTGTACAGACGTGCGTCTGTGTATATTACACAGAGGGGAGAACATAAAAACTTCTGAGCACTGGGTTTTCTGTCCCATTCCCATTTTTCAGTTTAGTTTGAGTGAACTGCCTGGATTGTGACACTTGGTTTTGTTTTCCTCACATTTCTCTCTTCTCCCCTTTCCTCCTTCACCTTTCTCTGAAATGTAAATTGAACTTTGCCCTCTATGCTACCAAATCATCAGTGTGTGAGGCTTAATAATCATAGAAGGAAGGTGTGTCTGTCATTCCATTATCTCCTTTCCTCCTCTCTGCATATATGGAACAGTGGAATTTTTCTCTCCCATGGTCCCTGTGCTGCATCTTCTCCTCCTCTGGTCTGTTTCCCCCTGCCTAGTCCATCCAAGAGACATGACAAGGTTATGTTTTGTATTAGTTCCATATAGAGTGTTGACTGTTTCTTCTTTCTTGTTTGAGTTCTGTGTGCTGTGACAAAGAAGACATACTGTGGATTGTCCTAGGAAGGCCAGAAATGTCATGCAGAGAAAAGTGCTAGTTTTAGTAGTATCCACGTAACCTCAGTTTTGGCCTAGAGTTAGTTCCATTCTCAAGGGAGATGCACATCCTTGCTGTCTTGCGTTCTTGGGGATATTGCTGTGAGGATTTAAGTGCAGCAACTGTTGATGCAACCTGTCAATAACATTTTTTCCTACCCTGTAACTTGTAGGTCAGCGCTTTGCACAAATGGAGGAGAAAACTCTTCTAGCCCTCATCCTGCGGCGCTTTTGGGTGGAGTCATGTCAAAAGGCAGAAGAGCTTGGCATAGCTGGAGAATTGATTCTTCGTCCAAATAATGGCATCTGGATTAAGCTGAAGAGGAGACCAAATGCTGAATCAGAATGAAAGGAATTTCAAGTTTATTTCCCAAAACTTTCATGATATTTAGGCTGAGATATATTTTTAAATCAGATATTTTGAAGTCAGTCCAGCAGTTTGTTAAAACTAGTTGCGGCTGAGTGTTTCATTAAAGAAGATGTTGTAATTGCCCTAAATTGCTCTACTTTTCTAATACTTGTGAACTTCATGTTAATCTTTGAAATGCAAATCTATAAATATCAAATCTTAGTGCCTTATCTGCTCAGATGAAACTATTCTACTGCAACAGTGCCACAAAAACTTAAATTATGGTAGTGGCAACAGTAATGCCTGTGGTGAAGTGATCTGGTTACATGCCATAGCATTTGAAAGGTAACTGATAGTCTCAAATATTTGTAGAGCTTTTAGGTTTCTTTGGTTCTGAAAGGTACAAGGGATCAATTCTTCCTCTTGGCACAATATTTTTCTGTTTTGTTGATGACTACATCTGTGAAGACAAAGCAAAAATCTAATAATATCACTGTTCCTTTGTAAGCATTTACAGTACTTCTTAATTAGTGAGTGCTCTGAATTATCTTTTAGCAAAGTGTGCCATAAACTTTAATCTGTATAACCATACCAGGAACTAGATAGTGTGCATATTACACACAAGATTTCATAATGACAGAAGCGCTGTATTATTACAAACTTGGAGAATAAACTTCTACCATGCCTCAATATGGACTGAAATTGTATCTGTAAAAATTGCATGTCTGTGTGCAGGTAAATTACTGATAGAAAATTATTTCTTATCATCAGTTTCTCTGGGGTGGTCAATCAACCAGACTTTATTGTGTTAGTCAAAGCTGAAACAATGAGCCAGTGTACTCTTGCCCTGAAGGCAACATATGGAGTCTTTTGCTAATTTATGTCAAAGAGGAACTACGGTAAAGGAATGAAGTCCCTGTGAAAGTTTCTGACCGTACCTTCAGGATGGGTCGAAATCTGCTACAGGCCACACAGCTGGAAACTAGACTCTCCATGACTTTTGCATGCTCTGAAGAAAAAGCTGGTGGTAGAACATGCTGAGGTCCTCTAGCTGATCTGAACTTTACTTGTGCCTTATGCTTTGGGGCTTCTTTAGCCTGATGTGTTTTACTCCAGCACAATGTCTGGTGCTCTACAAAGAAGGTGCCTGCTGATAACCACACTTCTGTCTTTAGCTGCTAATGCAGCTGTTGCTCTTGGTGGTGAGGGATTTTGGTGTGCTGTCACCTTTAGGTTTTTCGGGGACTGTGGGCAACCAGTAGAGGGGAACTGGATCAGAAGCTGGAGGTCAGAGCTGATACAGCTAATAGGAACTGGTCCACCCTAATGATTAATGTGTTACAAAATACGAAAGGAGTAATCTGCCCTTACTGATTTTGTTGACCTTTACTGATTCTTTCCTTTGTGTGTTTCCATGTGCCCTTTTAACTGCATGTGGCAGTTTAATACCTGGGATACTGCTGTACTTTGTAGAACATCAGAAAAAAGAGATATTAATTTCTATATTTTCCAAGTAAATTAGAAGTTTCCTTGAACCTGCCAAATTCTTTATATTCTGATAAACCTAGGTTTTACTATTTTCTGAGGATCTTATAAAGAGAAAGTAACTGCTTATTTTACATAAATGAAATCACAGACCTTGACAAATGGTCTATAATTGGCTATGTTTATTTTGCCATTAAGAAAAAAAAAGTCATATAACAATGGTAATATGGTTGCATTCTTTTTCGAAGATAGGTTTCATTGCTATATAATAAGAAGAATTTAAGTTTCCAGGGCTGAATGTAAACATTATTTTCTTTGTAATGTCATAACTTTTGAGACTACCATGCTATGTTAACACACATAATACAAATGCCATGTTTTCCGGACAGACTATAAATTAAGGAATTACTTAATGTTTTTAGGTACTTGGCAGTCTGAGCTTTACAGGTATAAAAGATTTGCATACAGAATATATTTTCTCAGGACATTTGGTATGTATTTGAAACCTGGAGAGGTACCTCATGTGTTTTCTTAAACTATGTCCTTAAATTGAGGACTTTAGACAAATGAAAGCAAATATTACCTCCTTTTCTTCTGTAGGATCTGTTTTGTGGAAACAGTTTGTAAGATAGGCCTAATTATAAGAACTCTTTCCATAAGACATGTTTTATGATTTCTATCTACACCAACCAATATTTTTCTTATGCTTTGTTTTTGTACAATAGCCTTTTCATATAATGGGATCTCAGGTAATTTGTAATGTCCGTATAATCTCTGCTGTGAACCAGAAAATAATTGAGACAAAAGCTGAATAAAACTGTAATGAGAAACTCATTATTAAAAGTGCATGAGGTCAAATGCAGGCACAGGGATAGCAGAGTGGAAAATCCCTATTTAGTGATGCACCTAGTACCTTTGCCAAGATGAACCCTGATGTAATCCTGTGATCTTTGTGTTCTGAGCAGTTCTGAAATTGCACTGACCTCTCAACTTTTGTCGTGAAAATTGGTTCTGAAGCAACCTGAGTCCGCTAAGGAAATAAATGCTGAGGAAGACAATACTGAAATGCTCAGGCAACTTCATGCCTGCAGGGTAGATGTTACCTACCTTGTGTTGTGTAGTGTGCTTTTATTAACTTGAGTCATATGTGTGTAGTTGTTGGATGTAATAACCCTTTAGGTCTGAGGTTTTGTTTGTTTGTGTTTGTGGGTTTTGTTTGCTTGCTTTTTTTGTGGTGGGTTTTTTGTTTGGGTTTTGGACTTAGGAATTTAGTGCAGCCTTGCCAGGTTTCCTGATAAAGTAATGGGACAATAAAATATTGTGCAATAAAAACTGCATGTGCATAGTAGGTGTTTATGATTTTGTCCTGATGGCTACGTAACTGCTGATGATAAGAAGGTAGTGGCTGAATTCTAAACCCAAATATTGCACCTCATATAAAGATCCCATTTGTACGGTGACAGAAAGGACACAACTTTCTACGGGGGTAACAGAGCGTGTAAGTTTTTCTGGATCATGGTTTACAGCTCTTGTGAAGAACACTGACAACAAACCCCGTGTGACATTGTGGGGTGTTCTGGTTAAGAATCCAGCCATTCATTTCCTGAATTTAGTAATTCCTGCCACGAATAAGGGGGATGAGTAAGATTGTGCATGGATCACAGTGGAAATCAGCAGAAAGCAGTATCAAGTGAGTAGGCAATTGCACTGCAAAGGAGATGGCATCTTAAAGAACTTGCTTGGGGTGAAGCAGGTTTTGAGTTTTTTTTTAAGTACCAAGTCTACATGAAGCAGAGTCAAACAGAAGCAAGCACTCCATTTAATGCCAGATGATTCAACTCAATTTTGTACTTGTATGATCAAAAATGTTTCCATTTTATAAAAATGTTTTAACGACCACTTCTTTTATCCCTGCTATCTGAATTACTGAATCCTCATTGCAGTATCCTGATTTAGTTACCAGAATATCATTGATAGCTAAAATGAGTACAATGAGGGAATTAAGACCAACAATAACCTTATGTGTGGAGCCCTTAAGAGCCTAAGGGGTGTTAGATGGTTGTGGTATTCTATGCTCTCCAAATTCCTAACTTTTCTCCTAGTTTAAATTATGTAATCTCTTTGGATTTCAGTGGGGGTTTAGTAAACTTCTACCAGCTGAGAATTTGTCTCAGCGTATTTTGCCCTATAGTAACTAAGTCCTATAATAAACAATAATGCACTCATCAACATAGAGTGCATGACATATTCTTTTCTTTGTATGCAAGTGCAACTTTCTTGATTTGAGCCACAGTGCAATGGTGTAAAGAGGAGCATTTGCCATGTGAGTACTAGGCCCACTGAAAGAAATGCATTTATTTTCCAAGTGAGCATGGTCATTACGATTCTCTTTGAATAGCATTGCTGCCTTATTTTGCAGCTATTACAGTGGTAGATCCTGAATTATGTCCGAAGCTCAACCAGCTCAGAAAATGCTTAAATTAATGAACTAAGTAAATAGTCACCTGTGCCAGGTAATAGAAAAACATAGCATTAGGTTGTGTTGAGATTTGTTGGGGTTTTTTTGTTTTGTTTCTCCTTACCCCCTTCTTCCTCTCACTCGTTTACTTCTGAAACAAACAGCTATCACCAAAAGATTCCTTTTCCCGAGACAAATTTCTAACGTACAAATAGTGGATTGTAGAAATGAAATCTTACAGAAGCTTCTGATGAATGTGGGTATGACTGGATGTTGCATGATCTTGGTAAAATTTATGATCAATCTGCCCTGTTTTTTATACTGATTTGAACTATATAGCTTATTTTTTTTCCAAAAGTGTGGAGCTGGAGTTTTTTTGGTTTGCTTGTTTGTTTGTGCTTTAATAAGACAGTAATGAACTGGAACAACACTGCCCAATATCTGAGCTGGAAAGCCCAGATGAGTATTAAAAGTGAAGAAATTAAAAGTCTTTGGGGAAAATTTCTTATCCCTTTGTGCCACCAAGTGAAATGCACACATATACACACACAAAGGCAAAGTAGTTATTTTAATTGTATGCTAGTACAGGTTGAGCAACACAAAAAGTGGTAAGTTCAGCTCCTTTGTCTATAAATATCTTAGATGTGTGGTAGGTTTTGTGATTACAGGATGATGAAAATTCTTTAATTTGAAATAAAGGTGAAAATTTTTTCAGTAGTGTAAAAGATTATCACAATTTTATAGATGACAAACAAGAGACTATGTTGCAACTTGTGGTTATACAAGAAGGCTTCATGGGTGTTGACTGGAAATGGTGTGGTGGTGTACTTTCCCAGAGCTGTACTCCCATGATACCTGTACACTCTGTGGCCCATATAGAAATCTCCTTTTCTGAGCTGAAGGTCAGAGCTGTACAGACATCTTAGTCTCAAAATACTTCATGTAACAGGAATAAACTACTGATGTGTTTTTCAGTAAAGCCTTCTAGCACTCTCCCTTGTCACTGTTACACACTTAGAATAGAAGAGAGGACATAAAAATGAAAGCTGCTTTACTGAAAACATTTGAGTCCTCTCCTACAAGCCTGTTGGGGCAAAGCAAATTGATAACGGGAGAATATGAAGA